CCCCCCCCCCCCCCCAAGTCTTGCAATGAGATAGAAGACACTAGAAACAGTGCTTGACCATTTCCCTTATAATGAAGCAATAACTGCAAGTAAAGCTCACATTTCTTAGAACCATAACTTTATCCCAGCATCTCTTAAATAAGTGGTGTTGAATCAAAAGCTTAGGAACATGTAGGAAACAGGCTAATCAAAACACTTTCAAGTAACAGCTGTCCAGAACGCTGTGACAACAATCTTTCACCTTAGAGAATATTTTTATCTTTTCCTCAATTTTATAATAGTTTTACATTAACAAATTCTAGCAACAGAGGCACTGATTTAGAAAATAGCTCTTGCAAAACTTTTTTTTTCATTTTTTGCATTAGTGTAAGCAATATTAAGTTTAGTTCAATAAATGTTTGAAGTTTGGATTATGTTAAGCAATACTTACTACTCCTAACTACTTCACTGTATAGGGCAAAAAGAGGTTAAATCCCTCCTTGACATTCTAGCTGAACTTTCCAGATGACTTACTATAAAAAAACCCAACAAGCTTTCTTAAAAAGGGATTGACGAGAGATACTCAAGAAATGGTGGGAAACTTTCTATATTGGTATTTCCTCTACAGAAAGATAGACAGCATGAGCAGCAAGTTATGCACCAGATCCTAAAAAAAATCTTAACTGCCACTTTGTCAAGAACAAGACTCTGTTGTCTTTTGTCTCACTGCACACCTTTGACAAGCAACTGACTTCATTTTCTCTGTATCCTCCTACTTCTGTCTGCAACTAGGATCTTCCATGAGCCTTCTCAAGGCTGAAGAAAACCAGTCTTCCTAGTGTCTCCTCATATACCATGTGCTCCCAAATCATCTTGGTAGCACTCCACTGGACTCCACTACATCAACCTCTCTCTTTTCCTAGGGAGCCCAAGACTGGGCCCAAGCTGGATCACTGGACACAGCAGCCCAAACACCATCTCACAAGTACCACACAGAAAGGAAGGATCCCTTTCCCAGACCTGCTGGCTACACTCTTGCTAACACAGCTCAGGATGTGGTTTGCCTTTTTTGCTACAAGAGCACATTGCCGACTTCTGTTCAATCTACCTCAATGCCAAATTTCTGTAAAGCTGCTTTCTAGTCAGTCTGCCCACTCCCACCTTTACCACTAGCCAGGGTTACGCCAACCCTAGGATTTTGAATTTCCCTTTGCTAAGTGTCATATGATTACTGTTAGCCCTTTTCCTAGTCTATTCAGGTCCCTCTGAACCACTTCCCCCAGTTTGGTATAGTCTACAAACTTGCTGAAGGTATGTAACATCCCATCTTCCTAGACCATTAAAGACATTAAACAGATTAGTCCCACTGTGAAACTGAAAGACATTATTAGCAATCCACACAGGAAGAGAGTACTTTCATACACACGTGGCCAGAAGCATCACCATATTGAGCAGAAAGGCAATTTCCCTCTTCACCACCTCATATTCTCACATACAGCTACCATACTTGCAATCAGTTCTAGCTTCATCAACACATTATAAAGGAGAACATTCAATAGCTAGATTTGTAAAAATCTATTTTATCGAGAATTTGTAGCCAGTATTTTTGTTCTGTTGAAAAATAAAATTTCCACAGGTCCTTAAATAAATCAGCTTAAAAAGAAGTTAACTCATTTAACAAAAAAGAAATCATACTGGGTAATTTCTGCCTATCACCTCAGCATTGGGTTTTTTTGTTTGTTTGATTTAATATATGTATATAGATACACACAAACTAAATCAAGACATCAATTTAAAAATGACCAGAAACTAGTAGTTAACTTCATATACAATTACCAGAATTACTCTACAGGTATTCCTGTCCCAGCTACTGAAACTTTTATTCAGTTTTTTGTTCTTAGTTTCAAATTCTAGATGTAGATTTATTACTCAAGTTACAAACACTTGATTTTCTAAAAAGAAAATTATCAAAAATTTTAGACAGTTCATTCCTTCGCTGTTCTCCATCTTTCCCACATTTCTCCCAATAAAATTCCAAAAGCACAGGACAGTCATACAAATCTTCACAAGCCAAAGTAGCTTCTGGAATGCTATGCTTTAGAGGGAAAAAAGATAAAAAAGTTAAATTTAAGAAAGCCTTAACAAGGCAAAACTGAGAACTCATTTGTAATTTTACACAAACAGCTGTATAAATAAGGCTTTTGGAGCAGCACTCCACTTGTCTGTGAAAAGAGCATACCCCCTCCAGAGTTACACTACTAATTAATCACCAGGGTTCCCTAAAATAGTTCAGCACTCAAATTATTCAGTATCTAGTTTCTACTTAGACAAATACAGAATGATCAACTGCAAAAACCGAAAATGAGATGTAGCTGTTGGATGACATCATGAAATGTTCAAGAAAAGAAACAAGCATTTTCCAATATCAGGAATAAAATACTTACAGCAAAATGTCAGGAAAGACAACTTTTCAGGCTTTCAGTACAAGTAAGACACAAGATTAAATGCAAGACAAATCAAAACTTGAATTAATAAAATGTATTTTTTATTTTGACTAGTCATAAGGTACACAAAAGTATGTAGATAATAATTCTCCATTGAAACATGACATCAATCTAAGTTTTCAGCTTTCTACAGCTTTTCTTTCAACACATTTTGCTTTCTAAGATGAAATGTGGCCCATACAACCCTAAGTTTGGGTTTTTTGTTTAGGGTTGGGGAGGCAGAACAAGATGTGTTCTAAAGTATTTGTAAGGAAAGGAGAAATAGCATTTTCAGTTCTCTTGAATGTACAAGATAAAATCCTGTATCACTCCACCTCCAGTATACTGATCATCCCTCCCAAAACAAAGGCTCACTCACATGGAGTAGTTCACCTCTGCTTCAGCAGCAAACACACACATCACTATGCTTCCTTCACACACACACACACACACACACACGTGCACATACTTACTTCCTCTCTCTCACTTGGGCTCCACCAATTACAGATAATCAGCTAGATTCTGCCCAAGAACTAAGATCTTGCCCTTCTACTCTCATGAAAACTCTTCAATTAAGTTTAGCAAACAAAATGCCCACAAAAAGCACTGCATGATATCTATCAGATGCCCTGCCCTGCCATTCTGAAAGCACTCATCTTGTAATCATTCTGCTTAATGCCAGGAAAGCACTTTACCTCCTCACCTTCAAATCAGAAAGAGATCAAAGGGAAATTCAAAAAAGTATAACTAAGTCTAAAAACATTTGATGACAGCCTGACAGCTCTGAACATTCTCCACAAAAAACCTGAATTATGCAACTTGTCTGATATTGTTACCTGTAATTTTGTATCCATATGCAGCCAGCTGTCCAGCCATATATTCACCATCTGAATTATTGTGAGAACATCCCCATGTACGAATCCAGATCTTCTGAACACCAGGAATAATGCTGTTAAGTAAAGATGAATGAAAGAGTCATGTTAAAAATGAAAAAGCTTTGCCTTTAAGCCCACTGAACACTCAATCGTAATGCTCCAAATATAAATTAAGCAACACAAACCAACTCCAAATCAGCTGTGGAAAAACATCATAATTATGTTATTTTAGTGTATTAGGTATTAGGTCCGGCTGGGATAGTTAACTTTCTCCACCACAACCCGTATGATTTTGTGGTTCCATATTTTTGACTAAAACAGCATTGATAACACACCTACATTTTCGCTTTTGTTGAACAGTGCTCGCGAAGCATCAAAACCTTCTGTTTTCCACCATGCTCCACCCCACCACAGACAGGCTGGACATGGTCAACAGGTTGGGAGGGAACATGTACAGTATAGCTGACCCAAACTGACCAAAAGGATGAGCATGATGTCATACCAGATGACATTATGCTCAGCAACAAAAACTGGGGGTTCGGTCTTCCAAAACTAGCCATTGCTCAGAGACTGGCTGGGCATCTGTCTGCTTCTGGAAGGCTGCAAGTGATTGCCTTTGCATGACTTGAGGGGTTTTCCCTACTCTATCCTTCACTTAAACTGTCTTTATCTCAACCCACAAGCTTTCTCGCTTTTGCTCTTCCAGTTCTCTCCCCCACTCTACCAGGAAGAGGGATAAGCAAGCGGCCCAGTTGTTGGACAGGGTCAATCCACCACAAAGAGTAAGAAAAGCTTTAGAATGGAGAAAGTACAAGAGCTGAAGGATAAGAAGAGATTCAGAACACTGCAGTTATGTTAAAAAAAAAAAAAAACCACAACACAACAATCTAACTTTCTGAAATCATTTAACAAGTGACCTTCAAGCAACCACACTGAAATTAGGCCACCAGCAAACAAACTGCAACCCTTTGATATTATGTCACCCATTGATTGCAGTTCCTTCCTGCAGTGGTACAACTCCCTACCTCCTCCTTGAGCCTTAGGGCAATTTCCCCCGCAGGTCACATGCCAACCCAAGATAAACAGGGAAACACAGTGGACCAGAGCTTTCAGGCACTCCCTTAAGGCACCCGATTCCCATCTACCCTATCACACATACCTATTAAAAATGAACTGGGAAAGGCCAGTTGGGAAATGGATTGGGATAGACCAGAGCATTAAGGCATCCCCTTAGCCCAATTGGTTTCAACCTCCCACACCTCTTATTTAAGAACAGATACCACCTGATAGCCTAGTACATCTCTACTTGAGTTGTAGCCCAAAAGGGGATGATATCAGAACTCCAAGATTTAACAAGTTCTGGGGTTGTACAATTGATAGAAAATACCAGAATATGCCATCATCCCATTTGGCCAGAAATTAAAAAATATCTGATGAAAGTCAGTTATCTCGGACCCTATAAATAGCGATTCCAAGCAAGACCCTTTGAGCTCTCCTTGATCGCAGCAGGCTGTGTCCAGCACCTGCCCTGAGCTGGGATGCCTCTCAGGCTCACAATCCTCAAAGTCTTAAGATCATCTCCCCACAGAGGTGATGGAAGGCCAAGGTGAAGTCAGACTTCTTGAATCTCAATTATTGACCATTGATAAATACTTATGTGTTGGGCATCCCTCAAGACAAGGGAAATTTTAACAATAAACTAGTCTCTTCAATCCACCTCTTTACCTATCTATGTGCTTAAATATGGATATTTGCCTTCATGAATGAGGATGTTTATGTATTTTACGGGATATCTGAATACTTCCACACTCTGTGTGTATGTTTTGTGTTTATATATATGTACATACATATATCCTTTGACTTAAAACACCTTGTAGTAAATTAGCATGAACCTTGTCACTTTCAAATCTGTAAATGCGTCACTGTTTTTACCATAACATTCTACCAAATCACCTTGTTAATCTTTAAATTACTCAGTGATCAAGTGCTGCTAAAATTCAACCTTGATCTGCCTCACACCATTAATAAACTTTAAACTGCTATTAAATCATAACCATGTGAAATATTTTCATCCATGCCACCTCCATGCAAGCCACTTTATATTCTTAACTTAAGCCTCCTACTAGCCACACTCACAACTGAAAGCTCGTTCCCCAACCTTTCTGAGCTACAGAAGCAGCATGGCCAATGTGCACCAGGGAGCTAGCACACAAAATGGTTTAAAGAACAACAAAAAAATTCTTCAAGAAGCTCTCATTGAAAGTCCTGGGATAACTGCACCAATAAGCTAAAGATGCCAGTATAAGAACAACACACATCCTGGAACAAAATCCTTTGCCCTGCCCACATCTTTTTTTTTTTCCTCCCTCGATAGTTCTTTTTTTAAAGATACTTCCCCCCTTGCTAAAAATAGAAATTTGATGGAAAATTAATGATCATTAAGTAGACATGCACAACATGTGTTGCTTCTTGGGTCAAAACCACTAAAATACAGTCTCTTAGATAACATATAGTACCTGAATACTTAGGAGAATGGACTGCTAGTGTATAGACCACCAGTTCAGCTGTCCACACGCTCCTGCGGTCAATGCACCTTTATGGGGCTTCAAATAAAAGTGTACTGTTACATTTATAAAATCTCCTTTGAACACTAACAAAAAAACAAAATTGAATTTCCTATGCATTCCAGACATACTTTATTTTCACTTTATAATGTGGGAAAATTTCTTCTACCAGCTTGAAATTATTAGGAAAAATAACCCTCAACAAACCAAACTCCAGATCTCTAAATGGCTACAGAAACTAGAATCAATAACTGAGTTCACCTATACTTTAATCAATTGCACTGCAGAAGAAGGAAAAATGCAAAGACACATTCTGTAGTGATTGCATACTACTTCCATTGAAATAAAACAGTTAAGTTCAAAAGAAGTTTCACTATTATCACTTGCAGGATGTACATACAAAAAGTACAGCATTTGGAAACCCCAGATTCCAGAAACTACGTGGAAAGACTGAAGAAAAGATGTACCCTTGATGGAAGAGGATCAGGTCAGGAATTACTTTAGCAAACTGGACATACCTAAGTCTCTGGGTCCTGATGGGATGCATGCACAAGAGAGATATGGACATACTGGAGGCAGTTCAACAAAAGTGCCACAAAGATGATTAGACTGGAGCATCACTCATAAGAGGAAAGGCTGAGAGAGCTGAGGCTGTTCAGACTGGAGAAGGCTCAGGAAGACCTTATCAATGTATATAAATACCTGAAGGGAGAGTGCAAAGAGGACAGAGCCAGGCTCTTTTCAGTGGTGCCCAGTGACAGGACCAGAGGCAGCAGGCACAGACTGACACACAGGAGGTTCCCTCCAAACATCAGGAAACACCTTTTCACTTTGAGGATGACAGGGATGGCACAGGTTGCCCAGAGAGGTGGTGGTATCTCCCTCTTTAGAGATCTTCAAAAACTATCTGGGCATGCTCCTGGCCAACTGGTTCTAGGTGGCCCTCCTTGTGCAGGGGGCATTGGACAAGATGACCTCCAGAGGTCCCTTCCAACCTCAAACCTTTTGTGATTCTCAGAATTTTGTTCTTATTTCTCTTTCCAGATGTCAAAAGGATACTCCAGGACTGCATTTTGAAGGATAGGGTGCTTCAATTAGGGTGATGCATACAATTTTTCCGAAATGCTTTCCATGTAAAAGCTTAAGTAACAGGAACCATTTCTCCAGCTTGATTACTCCATTAATCACTATCTCAGTCATAACTAATTTCTAAAGAAAGTTTGCCTAGGATTTATTATTCGTTACCACTATATTCTATGAAGACTATTTTACAATTTTATCTTGTATTCAGATTTTGCTTTATGAGATAATGAGAATTTCCATCTTATTTTTAGAAGCTGACAGTACACATAAGATATGAGAAAAGCAACAAGATAGCATTGATGGAAGAATTTACCTGTCACTTGGGGGATCATCATCTGTCTGAATATTTCTTTGTGAATTGCGTTTTCGCACTTTTGGAAAAACATTCTTTCTTACAAACTGTCGATCATGTGGTTTCAAATCTTCTGCTGACACAATATCTTCAATATCTTCAAGCACTGAATCACAGGCAGCAGGCATCTTCAAGAAGCTTTAGAGAAGACTGGTATTAGCAAACATTTGAATAAAAAACAAAGGTCTAGTATCTACTGAATATGTTTTCATACAGAAAAGTCACATATATTCCTATATATACACCTGCAATATATCATACGTATGAAGGATACTGAGCACCTAAAAACAATCAACTATCCAGAGGTACTTCCTGATGCCCTCTTCCCCCGAGGTCTCAAACACAGGCAAGGACAAAGTTACAAACCATATAGATTTTTTTTTTTTAAATAACCTGTACCTTATCACCTTCTAATTCAAAAACCCTGCAGCTCCTCTGACATGACATATCCAAGACACAAGTATTCTTAATCATGTCAGGCATCACAGTGAAATAATGAGTTCATGTTATGTGACAGATATGATTCCTCTCACATCACAGTAGAGCGAAAGAAGATTCGAGCACCTGCTTCAGAGGCTATTCTGGCTCTTTGTGTGCTGAAAACAGCTGCACAGTATTTCAATGTCTTCACAGTTCTTTTGAAAACAAACCCAACTATTCCCAGAATTCCTGATCCCACAGGCCTTTTGTTTGAATCACTTCATTCATCAACATAAAAATTCCTGTCCTCAGGTACAAGATATTTAACAACTATACATAGCTAATATGAAATAGCTAGATTAACATCAGGCTCATATAATATACTAGAATCATACATGATCATTAAAATCTAATTATATTTTCTACAAGAAATATATATGCTCTTTTCATGTCCCAGCAGGTCTCAAGATCCAGATCAGTTTTCAAGCAAAGGAAAAATGTTATTTGCTAAAGAAGCCTATAAAAAAGTTACTGCATTAATTAAACACCTCACACAGTGCTGTGTGTAACTCTTAATCAGAATGAAGTCCGATTTACCATTGGAAACTAGGTTCTGTGCATGTCTAAACAGTTTACTGAGGAAAACACGCAAGGGCATTTCACAGAGTTTACAGGGGAAATACACCACTTTCCTAACTGACAGCAAAGAACAAAACAAACAAGGCTTTAATTTCTTTAAAACTAGATTTCAGGAACAGAAAATTCAGGCTACTGGCATACAAAATGCTTTCGGATGTTGCAATTGAATTCTTGAGGAAAATAAGAGTTAAACACCTGTGCATTTCCCCAGTATGAGTCCTTCAGCCAATCTTGCAAAATATACTTCAGAATAAATCTTCATATAACCTGAACCATTACACATCTGCCTTTTAAGTTAAAAGGGAATATAACAATATCACAAAGAGGATGTGTCTGACAAAGGTATTTAAGCATTTAGCATTCTTCTAGATCAAAAATCCCATGATCTATAAAAAAACACAGCAAAGGATAAACAAAAATAAAAGGCTATGAAAAGTCCAGCAATAAAGAATACTGGGGGGATGTGACATCCCTTACACTATTTTATACCACTAACAGTACCTACGAATAGGCAAAGTTATCAACTCATTACGGGGAGAGGAAAAAAAACTTTGCATTTGTTTTTTCCTCTCTTCCAGAAAAACATCTGATATAATGGAGCAGCTGGCAAAACAAATAAGCTTAGTTTGTTTCAGTGGCCCACAAAAGGAAGAATACAGGCAAAATAAAATTCATACCTTTTTAAAAGCAAGGTTTAAATCCTCTCGGATAATAATCCTGGGGGGAAAAAAAGGAAAAAGACACGGCATGAACAAGCAGAACTAGCAGACAGAAAACCATGAGCTTGTTATTGTCCAAAAAACATTCCCTTTGCAGAAAGGTGTTTCTTGCTCAGTTTGACCTTGTTAAGGCTGCATACACATGATGACTGGTTGACAAAGCAGAATAGCCACATTTTCCCCAAGCAGAGGCACTAATCTTTTTGTTGTTTTTCTATAGTGCTTTTTTGTCAAAGTCTGATTTAAGTTCTTTCAGAAGAAAGAAATTCTTCCAGATTTCTGTCTTCAGTCAGGAGTTTAAGATTTTGAAGAAAAATGTAAAAAGAGATTAACAGTAAATTTTAGCTAAAGACATTCACTATTTTTTTAAATTACAACCACAGTAAAGTTTTTTAACAGACTACTTGATATCTGCACTAGTTCCATGGACGTGCATGAGATCTCTTCTTCACAAGCAAATAAATAAATGCAGATTCGGGCAGCTACTCCAAGAGATTGACTGAAATAATTGGCAAAAATAAAACAATAAGCGAATGTAGTTTTCTTGTACTGTCACGCTGTACCTACAAAACTTGACAATTCCATTTAAAAAATGAACGCTAGGGAATAAAAACGTTTTAATGTCTTGACAGAAACAGAACTTCCCTTGCCACGGTCTATTTCGATCATCCCTCCTTGATCTTCTTGCACATAGCAAGAAAGTACTTCTTTCCAACGACAAAACTCCGGTCCAAGTGGAAGAGGGTTGCTTTTTCCTCTATTTACCAACAGGTGTCTCCGATAAAGCCCCGGGCTTTTATCCCCAGTCTTACAGAGTAGTAGAAAACTGTAGCGTTAATATAAAATAAAACGAGCCCGCCGCTCAGCTCATGGCCCCAGGACAAGCTTGTTCGGTGCCCGGTGGCAAGCGGCAGGCTGGCGCGCAGCGGGGCCGCCGCCTGGCCCGGCCGAGAGCACGGATGCCTCAGAGCCCAGCCGAGCTCGGCCCCACACCGGGCTTCCATCCCGCTGACGGCACCCGACCCTCGAGCAGCACCTCGGCCCCCTAGACCTCGGGGGGCTCCCGCCACAGGGGTCACCTCCCCCTCCCGGCTTTAACGCGGAGCCCAGGGGAGGCCCCACAGGGGACGGCATCATCGCACGGGTGCGACGCGGGCA